TCAGGGCAGGCTCAGGGTGGATCTCAGGGAAAGGTTCTTCCCCCAGAGGGTGGTTGGCACTGAACAGGCTCCCCAGGGCAGTGGGCACAGCCCCAAGGCTGCCAGAGCTGCAGGAGGGTTTGGATGATCCTCTGGGGCACAGGGGGTGACTCTTGGGGCTGGGCCTGTGCAGGGCTGAGGGTTGGACTGGATGGTCCTTGCAGGTCCCTTCCAGCTCAGCAATTCTGTGATTCTGTCACCCCCCCCCTCATCAAGCACCACCTTCTCCCACCAACCTTCCACAAACACGGCCACCGACAACATGAGGCGATCCAGGCCCCGCGGCACGGCCGGGGAGACGAAGGTGAGGACGTCCACCACGCCGGAGATGCCGTAGAACAGGTACATGGTGGTGTGCTGCCAGTTCATCAGCTTCACCCAGTCCCGGCCGGCCCCGCTGTACAGGTACAGGTGAGGCCCGTCCGGCACGAACTGCTCCGCCAGCATCCCTGCGGGACACACAGCACGGGGGGCTCCTGGGGAACGCTGCCTCGTGCCTCCAGCGCTGCTGGAGCAGCAGGGAGAAAAGACAGCAGGAAAAGCTCAGGCCTGTTCATACAAGCTCAGATCTGGGAAGGGGAACAAGGCTTGGCCTTTTCGCTTCAAACTCTGCCAGATTAAGGCAATACAAGCGTTCGAGGATGCATCCCCCAGGGAAGGAGTGGACTCGCCGTCCTTGGAAGTGTTCAGGCACGGGTAGATGTGGTGCTCAGGTTCGTGGTTTAGTGGTGGACCTGGCTAATGGTTGGAGTTGGGGATCTTAGAGGTCTTTTCCAACCTTTAAGGATTCTCTGGTCCTTTCACATCTGGGCCAGTCTGTCTGGAGTCAGGGCTCCAGTACAGTCACCACTGCAGGCTGGGAATCTACCCACGTGGCAAGTGCAAAAGTTAAGCCTTACCTATGAGAGCAAAGACAATTTTCATCCCCCCTTCCACGGCATCCACGCGCTGGAAACTGGAACTCCTGGGGGATTTCTTGTTGGCTCTCTGGCTGAGGTACTGCAGGGGGTATTTCACCGACCACCAGAGTCCAAAGAGAAGGAAGAAGCTGCCTGGGAGTGCATGACCCTTGAAATTCGCCATCCTGACAGCCTCCTCTGGCTGCAAGGCAAAGAAAAATGGTGTCATTGTTCAAGTTACAGCAGTTATTTGGCAGGACACTGGGAAAAATTGGACTTACCTTGCACGGAGGCCTGGAAAAGGCTTGACCAGGCACATAGGAATGGGGAAGGAGAACTGGAAAACCCTCCAAGGGTGAGAGGTGGGAACAAATGGGGCCTCTCTGAGGTCCTTGCCCCAAGATAAGAAAATGTCCAGAAAAGCCAGACTAGCTTAGCAAAAGCCCTAAACCTGCTGCAATCTCTGACACATCCCAGCCTGTGCCTTGCATTCCTGGGATCCCTCCCAGCAGCAGCTCCTGCTTTTCCTGCTCTTCTGCAAGTATGAGCAGACCAGGGAAGGGGGCTTTTTGGGACCAGGTAGGAGTGACAATACACAGGGAAAGCAGTGATGTCTAGGGGCAAACACCAGTGAGTTTCTTTAGCTCCTTGAACAGCCACAGAAGTCTAAAATGTTTTAAAATTCCTGAAATTATTTCAGCCCGTAGAGGGGGGAAATACACTCTGGGTTTATCCACAAACCAAAGCATTTTGTTAAAAATGGAGCTTCCCAAAAGCTGCTGGAAACAAAACACCGTGAGCTTGGGCTAAACCACCAAACTCACTCCCTGCATCCCGACCTCCTCACACTCCTCCTTCCCTCCCCAGGGCACCCCCAAGCTAGGATTTGCAGGGAGGATCCCAGCCAGGCTGCCCTCCCCCAGTTTGTAGGGAGCCAGGAGACCCATTTCCTGGGAGAATTACACCAATTAAGCCCGGCTGGCTCCTGTTTGCCATTTGCTGGTTTGCTTAATTAGGTGGAGAAGTGATTAGTTCTTTCCTGTGGGCTCCAGCATATGTCCAGGGGGTGTCAGGCTGGGCAATTAGGGTGGTTTGAATTGATAACAAAGGCTGTGCTGCCAGCACCAGGACTTCCTTCTCCACTCAGGGTCTTCTCTGTGCTTAACACCGGGTGGGAACCATCTCCCTTTTGGGGTGGATGCTTTGGAGCTGGAGCTGAGCTCCCCAGCCCAGGCACCCACACCCTGATCATCCTTAAACCACCAGCGGCATTTTGGGCTTCAGCTGGAAATACAAACCAAAAATGCTCTTCTGCTGTTGCACAAAGATAATTTGGGTTGAATATGGCTCACTGCTGTCAGCCTTGGAGGAGGAGAGCAGATCCTTGGCCTTTATTAATGTCTGATTTCAGCCAGTTTGTCCCTTGTTTCATCCCCTGAAGTCCGTGGCTGGTGCAGGAACCATCTCCCACAGGTGCCTGTCCCCAGGCAGGAAAATCCACTGGGTTAGCCCCGACCTCCTAAAGCCCTGGAGCCAACCTGCCTGATCTGAGCTGGTTTGGCCAACCAGCTAATCCAGCACCTGCTGGTGAGCAAACACTGGCTCCTTGTGCAAACACCACCCCAGTATGTGCAGCCACACATGGCAGTGCTGATGCCCTTGTGGTCACACCAGGCTGGTCCCACAGTCCTGCCCTCACCAAACACCTCTGAGCTGCCTGTGGGTCCAGGAAAATTAATTTAGGAGGGGGACTTTCTAAGCTGTGCACAGAAATGGTGTTCTCTCCTGCACTCACTGGCAGCTTGGCAGGTTGCTGTGAGCAGCACTGCAAAGGCTCTGCCTAATT